TTTTAATCAATTATGCAAATCGCATTTATTGAGCCATGATTTATGCGATTTCAGAATGTGTGAATATTTATGACGAGCTTGGTCAAATGAAGAGATGAACCTGGTTATCGGCTGGAGGCACAGGGGAGGCCCGTGTTCGTTGTTCCGGAAGTACCTGGGCGCCCACTCGAAGTGCTTTCCCCAAGTAAGCCCACTTACACAGTCACCAATAAACGTTCCCTTGCCTTTTCTGGCTCCTCAGCAGATAAGACCCATAGCGGAGATAAGAACCTTAAGCGTACATGGCTGTGCAAACAAGAATACGAACCAGAGACGCGGGCGGCAACCTTCCGGCAAGATTTAATGAATGAAATCAGCTTGAATTAGCATTCCACCACATTACGCCCATAATGGCTCTTGTTTACACACACGCCGCAGCTGTTGAATCACGAATCGCGTTTCGGACCAACGAAACAAGAAAAGTATTTATTTTGCTTTGTTTCGGTCTCGGAGGCAATGATAAATTTTAACACAATTGCATTGCATAAACAATTGCACCACTTGCACTGGCACTCGGGGCTGGCATTTCGGCCTGGCTCGATTACACTGGAGGCCGAATCTCGTAATTTAACTGGTTTATTTGGCTATTCGCGAGTATCCATAAGATGTTTACACTCGTCGGCTAACACCCCCGCGCGAGTCGATCGGGACGTGGGCTGGCATCTCCGCCGGCTGTCCAGAAGATAGTTTGCACACCGCGGACACAGATACTGGGAGTCGCAGATACACAGATAGAAAGGCACTGGGGTACTCCGATATCGATGCGAAGGTAGCGAACCAAACCGAACCGAGCAGAGTGGAGCTGCGATCGAGTTGTGCGCCGGTGAAGTGTTCAGCACGTATTAATTTCTGTGGCAGCGCAAAAGTATCCGAAAGATACATTCCGTTTGGTCGCGCACAAGCGCATATGTGGGCAACTTCGCCGCCTCTGCCTCTACCTCTGTCTCTACCTCTGCCTCGGTCGACGTCGCTGCCGAGATTAGCGGCCCAACTTGTTTGACAGAAAGTAAGAAACACAAACGAGAGCAGAGTCGTTCCTCTGTTTATATTTACATTTCCCCAAATCTGGAGGGGGTCCGCCGATCGCAAAGGGTCAACGTCACCGGGGACGGGGGCGCGAGCGGAGCGGAGCAGGGGCTCAGGGGACCCAGGGGGATCGTAATGAAAAGCGACAAATTGTTGTCATCGCTGTCTCAAGTGGCTGAGCCCTCGTTCATCTCCCGACCTCGACGTACTCAGATTATTTGTTTTGAACAGCCAAAACATCTTGGTCATACGCTGTCAGGGGGTATCCCTAGTTCTTCATTCAGTAGGGAACACAGTGAGGGAGATATATCACATCCTATACATGAGACGTGGAAGTCACTATATCTGTCTGACAAAGCAATGTAATACATATATAAATATTTATCTCCATTAAACGTCCTCCATTCAGTGAGATCCAATTACAAGAGTCTCCTAGCCCTTTCGTCCTGCTTAAAAGAATGGTATTCCCTCCTTGACTTTCGGTTATAAGGAAACTGCAGGATATAGCTCCAATCTTCATGATCTATAATCCCTTTCATGCCCATTTGCTTTATTAAAAGTCTAAATACTATAAGTAAGACTAGCTTACTGAATTAAAAGATAACTATCAAAGATCCTTAAAACTATCCTATAAGATCTACTTGTCTGTCAGTTCGTTTGTCTGCATTTCTCTGGAAAGCCAAAGCAATCACAAATTCTAACATTTCAATTTGGATATGTATTGTATTAGGGAGATTCAGGATTAGGATTTTACTCAACAATCTTAATTTAATAAACATTCTTCTAGTCTAGTCGTCTTCACCATTTGTCCGTTTATCCATTCGGTTAAACGTATGGTACTTAATCCCTACTTTTACTTTCCGTTTATAACGAAAGTGAAGGAAATAATGCCACCTGTAACAATAAGAATATTTGTCAATAATAATCACGAAGTAAGCTCTAATTTTTTTTATAATTTAGAACCAAATCCGAATAACCATAATAATAATGATCCAAGTTTTCTCAAGATGTCCGTTCGCTTAGACTGAATAAAATCCCTACTTCTACCTTCAGTACAGAACAAAGTCAAAGGGACATCTGATACATGTATTATGTAGTCATACAATTGCCCTTGTCCGTTTGTCCGTCTTTCTGTCCGCCAAATAGTGAGCTAACCTCTCAGGTTTCATGGCCATGTGAAATATTTTAAATATATAATTGGTACTGTAATAACTTACAAGTCTCACTCTCGTTATCTATGATGTGTGTTAACTTTGCTTCAAATTCATTAAAAAGTAACTGCATCTGTGTAAAGCCATCCGCTACTTATAGAGCAAACTTGTTTTATTGAGATACTGGCCCTTGGTTCGGCTATCTTTCCTGTTTAATTACCAAATTGATTAGATTCTACTGAAAAGCGACAGCCAGTAAACTGTAAACTCTGTCTGTGGGCTGCTTTGGCGCTTTGTTTGGTTTTTGCCAGCCGTCGTATGCAAATCATTCTCATCAAAATTGGACAAGATTGCTCCAAAGTTGTTGTGATGGCTAATTAAATGTTTCGTCCAACGGGGCCACAAGCAGTCCGAATGAGGCCAGACTCTGACTATCTCAGAGATGTATGTATTTGGTCATTGCGGCATGCGGCTCTTGGCCAAAACCCGAATGCTTCCGCTTCCAAATGCCCAGGCGGAAATCGTTCTTCAAATCAAATGGTTCGGCATGTGGCTTGTGGCTTCTGGGCCCATAGTTACGAGCAAGTTGGCATCCAGAATGATTTCTCTGAGCCCCCAATTATTTATTGTCAGAGTCCCGACAATGGGGAGGTGCTTTCCCCGAGCTGTGGTCAAGTATCTCTGATCCAACACCTACGACGTGTCTTCACCCGACTACTGATGCGGTTCGCGCCGCTTTGGGTGGCCGTGCCCCGAACTGGTCTGGCCCGAGGCCGGCTGGGAGGAAGCCACTACACCTGCACCTAATGATGGCTAATTATATGTGGGTTAAGTTTCAGTTTCCAAAGCATTTTCATTAGTTTGATGGCTCCTCCTGGCCGCCGAGGGGGCCGGGCGTTCCGGCTATAATTATATAATCATTTTAATTGGATCCGGCGATGTTTGCGGCCGCGACGCGCCAGCCTCGACACATAACAAAGATTAATCGCGCTCATGTCGGCGGCCCAGAACTCTAGAGGCGGGCGGGGCTAGACAAGCGTAAGTACAAGTATCTGGCAGATACTTTCCTACCTACGTGCACGCTGTAAAGGTCAGAATGCAGATTCCCCAGCAGAGTGAAGGAGGTGCTTCTGCAGAAGCCCCGCCCACCAGCCGCCTAGAACAGCTCGCCTTTGACTTTGCCTTGAGGAGCTTTTTAGAGTAGAGAAGAGTCGCCGAGCGAGACATTTATAAATTAGTTTCAATTTGTATCTGCTCAGAAGATTTCGCTACTTAAGCTGCCTGCTCGTATTTCATTAGAGCCAAATTAGCTTCATCACGTGAGCGGAGGGAGGTGCAGGGGCAGAGGCCAGCGGATCCCAGACCTCTCCGAAAGGGGGAAATCCAAACAAATCAAAACGGAACTCACACCAAATGGCATTCTCACATAAATTTTGGTAGCGCCCGTGTGTGCACACTCACGTACCTCTCGGATCTTCTATTTTCCGACTCCCGAAGTGGGCTCTTCCCGCACCACTCAAAATTAATTGTGTGGCTATTGATAGGCCTCGTCTTTGTTTTCACGCGGCTGAGGCTGCAGCCGGCTCTTCGGCGGGTTTATATTTATCCGGACCTGGGATTGGGGCTTTGCGTGTCGCACGACACCGACTCTACATCGCCCGCCATGGAACGGCGAAGTGTCAAAAACAGTTCCATAGACCCAAAACAGTGCGGATTCGTTTGAATAATTTATCAGGCCATAATTGCCGCCGGTCTGCGGTTTAAATTCCATTTCATTTCGGTGTTTGGACTCTGGAGTCCGGAGTGCCAATCAGGCGGAAAAATAATGCGAAAACAGGATTTACCGACGCGTGCAGTGCATAATGGGGTCATCGGAGTGAATGCGAAGGATATAATTGCAATATATGTTTATATGTTAATAAATCAGTCTTAAAGTAGTTATTAAAATTTAGTTGAATGCTGTATGGTAGATCAAAACCCACTAAACCGAACCTAAGAGGGAAAACCCACCTATGGCTGGCCTTCTAATTTAATCACGAGGCGTAAAGGATTCCGCCCCTCAATTAAGCTGCACAACCCATTCAGTGCCACTTGCCCCAACACTGGCCCTGCATTTGCCGCAGCCACTCACTGCCCGGCCCCGGTGGCCATATTAGTACGCTGAGGTCATGCATGCTGCCACTGCCACTGTCATGCCCCACTTAACCATAAATACTCGAATTTCCATTGCTGCCACTCGGGCAGTCGGCCAGTCAGGCAGTGCAAGAGAGCCCTCCGCCGAGGCGCCTCGGACCCAATTCGAACCATTTCAATTAGCAGACACCTCCCGGAACGGAAAATGAGCCTGAATATGATGCCGAACGGTACGGCTGAACAGTGTCCGACATCCTTGTTTTGTGGCACAATCGAAGAGGTGGCGGGGACGGAGGGACTGGGAGCCAATATCCGTGCGGAAATTAATGTTGCTGTGGCAAGCACTGCGCCCGAATGGAACGGAAAAAATGGAATACCACAAACCGATTCGATGCCAAAGGGGCTGCAGGACGGGGCATGCCACACAATTCGCTGTTGTCAGCAGTTCCTCTTTCGGCGCTGTTCGTTTCGACGGATAAAAGGCCGGCTTAGCCGCAGCCACCACCCGGCCACCCCACCCTGGAATCCGGCGAATATTGAACATGCTCGAAGCATCGGATATGCAGCACGGGGACCCTATATAATCGCCATCAATTATATTGTTCAGCCCGGGCACTGTTCCGGCGTCAAAGTGCCACAAGGAGGACTTACCTTGCCATCGGCATCGGCATGGGCGTGATACCGGACCTCCAGCGACCCGCCGAGCACCGCATACCAGAAGCGACCCTGCTCCCCGGCCCGAAAAACTGCAAAAAAGCGGAGAAAGGCAAGGGTGTTTGTCAGCCACCAACACTGCATATTAAATGGGAGCCACAGCAACCACTCACGTGTCACGCCCTTCTCCAGGTCCTCGTAGAATCCACACATGGCCAGCTGCTGGAGGGCGGAGCCGGGGAGGCGACACAGCGGCTCCACGCGACGCAAGCGGCACGAGATCAGCTCCACATCACGCAGGTTCCGGTCGCAGGGACTGAAAAAATATTGATTTTTTGCTCATATGAGTGTGTTTAAGAATATTCTAAATTAATGAACATCTTAAAGAGTATATTTAATGTAATATATAAATTCCCCCGAACATCTGGTATAATATAGAGTTTTCCCCCGGAAATAAAAGCAATATTAAACTTTTAAATAAACCATATTTGAAGCTCTTCAAACAATTTCTGCTCTATTGAGCTTCACAACATTTGTTATGAAAAGCTTTTTGTTTCTCCGAGTTTGTATTACACTTCACGGTTGCAAGGAATTTGCACAATACTGCAAATATTTACATTTAAATTATGTAATATTTTTTTTATTCAAATTGGAAATGAAACATTTTTGCTAAAATAGCAGTCCAACTTACTGGATTCTCTCCTCATGGGTGTCGTTTTTCTTATATGTAGAACTAAATGAAAACATCTAAAATAAATACTCTAAAAATAGTTCAATGAAGCAGATGAAATCCTTTAGTTTGGTATTATTTAAGTTGCAAAGCTACTTCTTTTTTTTTTAATTCAAATCTATTAGGTTTTCAAAAAATTCATAAGTTGAGTTTTATAAGTTAAGAATAACTTCTTGTAGTGTATGTATCTTAAATGTGTTTGGATGATAGCATTTCATGATAGCTTTTACCATGACCGTTTTAGTTATTTTTTAAAGAATTTTATAAAAATTGGTATAGGGAAAAATGCTTCATAGGTATAGGGACCTAATAGGGAAAGTCTAAAGCCATAGATGGCAAGCAAAGCAGCTTAAATTCCACACATTTCTTTAATTTACTACTTTTTATACCCTTGCAGAGGGTATTATAATTTTGTCCAAAAGTGTGCAACGCAGTGAAGGAGACATCTCCGACCCTATAAAGTATATATATTCTTGATCAGGATCACCTCCTGAGTTGATATGAGCATGTCCGTCTGTCCGTCTGTCCGTCTGTCCGTCTGTCCGTCTGTCCGTCTGTCTGTTTCTACGCAAACTAGTCTCTCAGTTTTAAAGCTATCGTCTTGAAACTTTGCACACACCCTTCTTTCCTTTGCACGCAGTATATAAGTCGGAACGGCCGGGATCGGCCGACTATATCCTATAGCTGCCATATAACTGATTGATCGGAAATGGTATAACTTTGGTGTTTTTAGAGTTAGAGAGTTCAAATTTGACATGAGAGCTATTTTTGGCAAAATAATACGACATGCCAAATTTCATAAGGATCGGCCGACTATATCTTATAGCTGCCATATAACTGAACGATCGGAAATGACCCAACTTTCGTGTTTTTGAAGATAGAAAGCTGGAACTTGGTACAGATTATATTTTTGGCCAGTTAATCCGACCTACAAAATTTCATTAGGATCGGCCGACTATATCCTATAGCTGCCATATAACTGAACGATCGGAAATGACCCAACATTCGTGTTTTTGAAGATAGAAAGCTGGCACTTGGTACACATTCTATTTTTGGTCAGTCAATCCGATCTACCAAATTTCATAACGATCGGTTGACTATATCTTATAGCTGACATATAACTGAACGATCGGAAATGGTATTTGGTAGAAATATCAACTTTCGAATTTTTGAAGATAGAAGCTTGGGACTTTTTTTTAGATTCTTTATTGTAATTAATTGGTTTTATTATGATGTAATCATAAGGATCGGCCAACTATATCCGATGTTTGCGATATATATCCGGTTATAGCTGCAAGGGTATATAAACTTCGGCTCCGCCCGAAGTTAGCTTTGCTTTCTTGTTTATATAAGTTTTAATAAACATATATAAGCAGCACACTTAATAGGGTTTACGTTACTATTTTAGTATAGTATTACTATTTTAGTACGATTAGTACGATTAGTACGACCCATGCAGTTAAAATTTGTTTTGGGTGGAAGCGATGTCTACCGGATGTCGTATAGCCAGGTAACTCTATTATACCCTTCCTGAATGTAATTGCAATCGAGGTTAAATAAAGAATGACTTAATTTCCAAACTCCTCACTTGCAATACTTGCATAATTCCTCATTAATAAATAAACGCCAAAGATTAGCATACCATGCATTCCTATTTACACAATTATCTCACAATGAGAGTGTAAAATTACTAAAATTCAAGCAACAAAAGCATGCCGAAGCATTTTCATTTTCTTAATTGACAAAGGGCCCTGCATTGAACTGAAATAAATCCTGTGGCACGGACGGACCAGCTTATTACACAATTCTAGCCGCTCGAACAATAGGCCCCAATAGAGCGGGGGGCCTTTGAAGAGGGACCATAACGAGTATTTTCCATTTATAATTCTCCAAGTCTATGCAAAGTACTGCACTCGGCTTTGTTCTATTTCTGTCACTGGACAAGGCCAGACCGTAAAAAAAGAGCTATGGAAAACAGGAAAAGTATTCGTGCAACAAGAAACTCAAATTAAAAATTCCAGTGTCATTTGTGCATGGTTTGTGCTCGCATTAAATATGCAAATTCAATTTTTTTTATTTCTGTTTGTGTTCTGCGAGGGAGTCAATTGAAAAGCGAATAAATAAATAAAAGAGTGTCCGGACCAGAGCCTCACCGGAAATGGTGGTCCTCTCCAGGAAGGAAAAAATTTGATAATAAAAGATGAAACTAAGGTGGATAAAGAAAGGCCTTAGAAACTAATTGTTTCAACTGAAAGTTTAGGTGAAGTTCTTGATTTTCTTAAACTTTAAGGTCGAGTAGTTTCAGGCTATACGATTATTTATTAAACTAGTTTTCACAAAAGCTTTCTTTGATGTTTTATGGCTTAAACAAGTTTATCAGAGAGTTTAATTGAGATTTTTCATTAATAATATAGAAAAAGTAAGACTTGAACGTTTAAATAAATAGAAACAACACATTCAAGTTGTTGTTCTGAAACTTTCAGGTAAAGAGAACGGGTGCGGATTCTGGGCCGCAGCAAGAGCCATTAGGAGGACCGCCCACGTCCAAGACTCCTTGGCGAGCTTCCGTCTAATTAAAAATTCCATAAAATTCCGCACTGCAAGAACCGGAGGAGAGGACGAGGATGAGGCGGCTGGGTGGCAAGCTGGGGCCAAGCTGCAGACAAAGGCTGCTTGCAAATCAAAAATAAAACATAAGTCGTCCTTCGCCAGGACATCATCTGCATTGAGGGGCTACTCTCGCAGCGAGCCGTCTCATTTTCGGCGCAGCCGTTGAAAAACTTTCCACCTCTTTTAAAGAGAGGTGGAGGTGGGTGGTGGGAGGATGGAGGTGAGCGGTTGTCTGTCCTGGCTGTCTGTTGTCCTGGCTGGCTGCCTTGCCAAGTTCATACATAATTCATTCGCCAGTAGAAGCGGCAATTTCGGGCAACCGAGGCACGCCACGGCGGGGATGATGATGTACCAGATCCGCCTACTGTTCTGGGTTTGTCGTTAACCAAACAGTCGGGTCCTAAGTGCTCCGGGTCGGGTCGGGGGAGAGGGCAGCGCGCAGAGCCGGAAGCGCGTTCAGGCGATTCCTAGGCCGCCGCCGCCGCTACCCACCCGGCCCGCAGCTCGTTGTTTATTATAATGGTTTTTGCGGTTTTTAGGCACACGCCCAAAAGTTTAGTTTCGGAATTTTATAATTGCCGTACGAATACACTTTAAAGCCACGATTCCCGAGTATTAAATGTACAATTTATGGACTCGCATTTTTATTCTTTGTTTACAAGTCTAGATGGTAGAGTTCAGAAATGTAGTAACAAAAGTGTCTTGAGGTCTAGTAAGCTCTGAAGCTGTTGATATAAACACGGACAGGATCATGATTCAGATGTGTATGATTTAAAATGAATATTATTTGTATTATATTTGTAATATTTGTATATAATACTCAGGTGCTTAAAATAATATCATAAATATCTTTCTAGACTTCGTATTATTCGTAAAATATTATTCAAAATGTATTAAAATATATTATACATCTCAATACTTTATCTTATTATTGGAATTAAACACTTCCTACCGGCCAGTTTCTGTTTCCTATCGGAAGTGAATTTGCAAAATTAAATGAAATATGCTTTAATGTTTTTTGTAATAGCTTTTTTCCTTTCAACTTCAAACAAAGTTTAAAATAACCACAAAAAGCATTAAAGCGCATATTTTTTCAGTAGATGGATATGTTTGTTGAGAACCTGAATTAAATCGATCCAGTTGCTTTCAACTGACTGTGTAACCCGAATTATTTCATGTATTAAACTTTAAATTTCATTGAGAGTTTTGAGGTAAAAATTTAGAGAAAATCCCACCCCTTCTTAAGCACTTGTCGGTACTAGAAGCAAGGTGCATGCTACATGGCACACTCGCATGATAAATGTCTTGTGGCACTTGTAAGTAAGACGACTTCTTGCCGGGAGGCCATCAATATCAATTTCTGTCTGGCTCTGCCACTTTGACTTTGGCTGGCCTGGCTGCTTACAGCGGTTCCCGGCAGCCGTGCTCTGGCAAGGACTCGCAGGACTCGAAATTTCGTTTGTATGCACACAGCGTTTGGCCTTGTCCTGCAGGTGTGCTTAAGCCCAGATCGCTCTCGATAAGCCGAATTACCAGCCAGCAAGTCAGCCAATCCCGCTGCCTGACGTATCCTTGGCGGGGGTGGCGAGGGGAAGGACTGGGTGCCATTTATTACGCCCAAATTAAATCATTTATTTCGGGAGGTTAGCCCGAATGCGGGGCAATTTGTATTAAATGCGAAATGACTTGCCACTTGGCAAAGTGCCTCTCCATTAGGAGATGGAATTCGCAGCTCTGATTATTGCTTTGGCGTCCTGCAGCGTGCATCCTGCAGCCTGGCTCTGGGTCCTGTGTTTGAGCAGGACAAACAGAGTGCAGAAAATTGCAAATATTTGCCCCGCGCACAAACCAAACAGTTAGCTTTAAGCCTTTGCCACTTGACCTTCCCTTTTTCGACGCCACTGCGCGCATTCACACAAGGGCCTGCCATCCCACTGACCCTCAACCTCCTAACACCCAACCCCCACCCCCCGACCCTCTGATCCCTGTGTGGGAAAACGTTTAAGCGTTGACAGAGCATGAAATTCGACGAGATTGTCCTGTGATTGATGGTGCGGGTGCCAGAGGACAACGCCCCTCGGATATCAGCAATGAAATATAAGTACCTCATACAATAGACGTAATACTGACGGCGAATTGAGCAGTCGTTGGGTCATGTGGAGCTTGCACTGACACTTGACAATTGTTGCAATTGTGGCACTTATCAAGGGGTTGCTGCACACGATGTACCAGAGCTTTATCTGAATCCTTTAAATGGTTATCAGATACAGGGATAAACGGCAGGAGCGGAAAGCTTTCTATAGCATCCGAGTCTCAGAGATAGAAGGTTATGTAAATAAGAAAGGATTCTATAATCTCAAACAATCTCTTAAAAATTCGTAAACTTTCGAAAGACAAACATGCGGACACATGGACATCCCCGAAAAGTTGAATATTTACGGAAGCTCTTAGATCAGGACGATTATGAAATGGAATATGTAAAATGGACATGAAAACTTTGAAATTTATGTCCTGTTGAGCAAAACCTCAAAGAATTCCCAACGTCCTTGGTCCTTCCATCAAAAGTTGAGGTCCTTGTTAAGCCTAATGGTCTAATTGCATTGCCAATGGCGGTTCACTGACTCAAATTGAATTGATATTGCGATTTAATAAAGCGAATAATTCGCGGCAAGCTGTGTCCACAACAAGGCTTGCCTTTTGCCAGGACGGGGCCGGGAGTGGGCCGCCAGGACGATGGCAGGATGATGGAGGCGAGCGCAGATGTTGCCTCTTGACAAATGAATGTTGAGCATGACGGGAACATTTTAAAATGTTTCGCTGTTCGGTTGTTCTTGCTCTGTTTGTACTCCTCGAGCTTTTCATCCGACGTGCATCCACGTCGATGTGTGTGAGCGTGTGTTCGTGTGTGTTTCCAGGACAAACAAGGGACAGGACTCTGTGGGGAAGGGCGTGTGCACTCGACGGGAAAATGTGTCTGAAAATTTAAAGAATCGTGAAAAATTCAAGGCAGCCTGCAATTAAATTGCGAAAAAGTTTGTCCCAAAGTTCAAGTTAAGAACATTTCAAGTTAAATTAGGAAACATTTTTCCCAAAACTCGGCGCCTAATTATATTGTAATTGCAGACTAATTATGATTTCCAACAAATATTCTAATGGTCGTACAGGATAATTAATATTTACTCACCGTTTGTCCATCGCGGTTATCCATTCCATCGCCATGTTGATGGATTTCGTTAAAGTTAACTTTTCTCTCAAACTTTCAGTCGTTTTTAAACAAATTCAAAATCGGAAAGCACTTTTAAGAACCGCAAACCGAAATGTGAAGTCGGGACACAACTTGAACGATTTATGGTTCGGAGGCGGAGGAAGAGTTTAAAGTTCTGGAAATTAATGGCAACTTTCGGGGCCAGAAAAGCGAAATCAAAACACCGGAAAACTGCGCCCACGCACTTTGTTTGTCGCCACCTGGAGTCGCGCTGTAGTCCTCAATTTGCGATTCCCTTTGAAGGTAGCATGCCGCAGATTGGCAGTCGTTTCAGTTGCCACTTTGCCGAGCTTGGCCCCAATCCGCTTTTGGCCGGGCCTCGGAAGGGGTAAGAGACTGTAACTTGTTGATTACGCAAAATTTACCAAATAGATTTTAATTCGAGTTTTCAGTTAGTTGCTTTTGGTTGCTGGAGATCCCGTGCATCTGGAAAGTTAAATTGGGCAAATGTGAAACACAGTTGGCTTAGTGTTGGCCAGGAATTAGTTTAAACTCCCGGCAAAGTGAGTGCCGAGCAGCCCGAGGCGCCTGGGCGGGCCAGCAAATGGAATCTAATATAATTTATATGAAATGCCAACAGCAGATGTAAAAGTTTTCCTCCTCTATACATGTATTTTTTCCAGCTACCAACTAATGTGGACTGTTATTGTCCGTCTTTCCGAAAAGGGGTTTTCAATGCCGCCCCTCCACCGTGCCCAGGCCCTGCGGGTTCCGGGCCGTGTGTGTGTTGCCAACTGCTGACAGCTGCCCAGAGGCCCTGGTGCCCGGTGCCTGGTGCCTGTGCCTGTGTGGGTGCGGTATCTGGGTCCCTTAACAAAGGCAAATGTTATGAGTAAGCTTTGATGCCAGCAAACTGGCCGGGAACTAATCTAACAATAGTTCTCCAGATAACAATAGATTACCCATACGCGCACACACTGCGTATACTTAACGGCCTGTCAATAGGCAAACAGATTTCCCAGAACGGCCAAAGCCAGATCGCACCGTGGTCAGAACCAGGATCTGGCTGTTGTTTACCCGCCCGCTGCATTATCTATATCTATATCTGTTGCGCACTTCACTTCTGCGTCAATGGGAAAAACATAATTTATACTTCGCGACCACGAATGCGCGCAATGCCACTGCATTGTCACGAAAAGTGGAACTGCAGGGCGGACAATTACAGCTGTCGGCTTGATGGGACCTCAGCCTGAAGAGTCCCCAGCTCTGGCTCATGAATAATTAAGCCAGCCAGGCAGCCTGCCCGTTGAGTATACGCCACCTTGGCCAGCCCAGCCAGGCTGCCTGACGTCTCTCCCCCATCGAGATAAGTCGAATATTGTCGATATCGGTGATGTCGATGCCTGCGTGGGCAGGACTCGATAAGAGCGCGCTATCGACGGTGTTCCGTAAATGGTGTTCCCAGTTTCTGTCACCGACTATCGGGCCACAAAATGCAATTAGTGTCGGGCGGGGGGTCGCCGAAGCTTAGAAATCGTTCAGGAAACAGCTGCTTTCAGGTAATATCCGACTTAGTTTTTAATTAAACCGCAAGCCGAAGGCGCAACTTTCAAATGCAATTGATGTAATTCCCGTTTCCGCTGCACCCGGGCTGCCCCACCAAGGAGTCCTCCAAGCCAAACCGACATTGTTGGGGGATTAAATCGTTCAACTTACAGAATCTTCAGAGGAAGACGAAAACTAGAAAACTAAATCAGATCTCTTGAGATTAAGAAATCTCGAATCTATTTGCCACCAAACTTGAAAACAAAAGTCAGTATTTATTTTTTACGATTTACACTCGAAATTTTAAAATATCGATCACTTTTAGGTCACTTTCGGATCAATTCCAATCTTAGAACCGGCTATGGGAATCGGTTACTTTGAAAAATGTCCTAACCACTTTGTAGATACAGTTTTTGAGAAGGCATTTCAGTTCTGAACTTCCTCTGAGGCTCCCAGCTCGCACGTCCGATTCACATCTTAGTCGCGTCGCAACTGTTTGGCCGAGTGCCGAATGCCAACTTCCGAGTGGCGAGCTCCTAAGGTCCGCACTGCGCTCTTCACCACACTTCTGTCCTGCGCCTAACAGGTGAGTTTCCGTGCGGGTGGGTGGCCGTCGAGGGTGCAGGTGGCTGGTGAGGTGGTATGGTGGGTTCCCAGCCCCCAGTCGGTTCGGTTCGGTTCTGTTTTGTTGTTTGTCCCCAATTCGGGGGCGGTCTGTTGAAATTACTCATCGCCGCTGACTGCAGTGTTGACGGCTGCGGTGCGGTATTTTTGGCCTTGTTGTTTTTCCCGCCCCTCCGCTCCCCAAAAGCCCCACACTCCACCCCCAATTCTTATATTTTGGCGCGTTTTTAGCAACAAGTTTGGCAAGTCCTTCCAACAGTGGGTGGAATACTGTCAGGAGTGAATGGAAAATCCTTATGACTCATATTTTCTGACTTTCAAGAGGATTTCAAGATACCTAGATGTGATAACTGGGTTAAATAAAAGGATTATAAATTATAATGCATTAATTTAAGAGCAATTTTTGATATTTTAATGTAATGCTCCTTGAATTAGCTCTATCATAGCTCTCAAATATATATAATTCAAATACTACACATCTAAGCCTTATTTCATACTAAATTTAAAAAAAAAAATTTTTTTTTTTCATTTTTTTAAAAATTTAGTATGTTATGTTAGTTATGTTATGTACAAAAGTAAATATATGTAGAATGAATGATAAGGAAAACATTCTAAATGTATATACATATACTTACATATCTGCTTTATTATTTTAATACTATTCTATTCCAGAAAGACAGGGAAAAAGACTACAAAATCATTTATTATTTTTAAGATTTTGATAAAAATTTAACTGAAATAATGAACATGCACTATCATCAAAATCTTAATCCGAATAAACAATATTTAACTGAAAATTCCTACTTTTATTTCCAATTTACAAGGACACCTTCAGACATAGAAGCTATAGCTAGTTCGAGTATTTTTAAATTAGGAGAAAATATAAGCAAATAAACAAAAAATAATTATGCAGAGCTTAATCTAAATATAAAATGGAAGTCATGCCAAGGTTTCAAAGTTACATTACGATGTATAAAGGAAAGCCCACAGGTATATGATACTTGTAAACGCTAATGTCCTATTTATTATTATTCTGTTTTAAAAAGTTAGTTATAATTAAAATAAATACTAACACTATTGGTAAATCAATGGCAGCGAAGGCCTTCAGCTTAGTATTTACATTTTCTTATTTTTAATATTATTTTTAATATTATATTAGAGAAGTTGATATGTATTGGTTTTTTTAAGAAAGTCAATCATTTTTATTATTTTACTATTTATTTTTGTAAAATTATGAAGAATTACGCGCCAAATAGCATATATAATAAATACATTTACAAACTAAAACAAATCCTGATTATCTAGATGGCGTTATCTAAATTTAATGCCTTAGTTATGAAAGGAAAGCCATCAAAACAGAACATGTGGCTGCAACATTTGTTGCCTGCTGGGGCTCCTCTCTGGCGTTCCCTTCGAAACAAACTGTTGAGCGTTATTTTGGTGAGTCGTCGCAGTGGGCGGAGACTTCAACAGGCAACTGTCGGCGGTCGTCCTCTGCTCCGACCGCCACACACTTGCCCGGAATTGCACATAAAGTGAAATCGCAATGCGAAACAATCAACTTGTCAATTAAATAATGCACGCGGCGCAAGCCACGTGTCGGACAGGACACTGCACGGACATCGCGGACATGGGGGACAATCGGACTGGACTGGACGGCTGGCTGTCACCAGCAGCAAATGAATCAACCGATTCACTCGTGTGGGAAACTGAAAAGGTGCGAAAATGCTATGGGTTTCCTTTGTTTTCCTCCTGTTTTTCGCACTTTTCCTCGGGCTAACCGTTTCATGGCGTTGTTGTGGTCGCTGGCACAATATTTACGGCACTCTCGAGTGCCTTTATTTCCGCATGAATCATTCCCAGATCCAGACCAGAACGCGTATAAATTCCTTGCTGTTCCTGGTTGCCTTTCTTTTTCCGTTTTTCGTTTTCCCGGGACGTAGTCGGGGGGGTGCTGTTCGTGTAGCATTTTTTATGAGCTCTCCCCATGTCGTCGGGGCGGCCATCATAGGCATTTTTTCGGGCTGGCCGCCTGGCAATGAAATTCCGGGCATTTTACGGCGGCTTTGCCTGTTGAATTTGTCATCACACGCTGAGCCGGCCCGTCAGGACTCCATATTCCGTCAGCCGTAATTATGATAAATGCGTTCTTAATAAACCCAGCTGGTGTTAAAGACCGGGGCTCTGGTGCGGGCCTAATGCATTTTCCTTCCTCTAAGAGAGCAGTGTTCTAATGGCATTTCCCGTACCCGACTTGGCCATTAGGACCCACATGCTGTTGCACGTTGATCGACCCGACAAGGATGTTTTCAAAGTCACTGTCCGGGCCGTCTGTCCACCTGCCAGTCACTGGAGCTCTGATACGTGTTTATGTCCTGATTGCACTTGCTTCTGATGTCATTGGTGTGTGACGAGGCACCTGGTCCTGTACCTGCATTAACGGTTATTCAATCAACGTTTAACGTAAATTGCCTATTAAAGCTGCCCCTTTCGCACAAAATTGCGAGTGTTTGTGTGTGTAATATACTCGTGTAATTTGATTAGCTGATAAACGAGGTAACCAACACACGTGCCCGCCACTAACTTGGCTTATGGCGCGACCACATTCATGTAGTGACTAGATAATGAAGCACCCACCCGACCTTCAATACCTCGTTCTCCCGTACATTGCCGCTTGGCTAGTATTATGTAGCACACTTTAGGGGGCTTGGGTGGACTTGGCAGGGCTTTGGCCCCCAAAATGGGTGTCTAGGGATCTGTGTCCAATACATGTTCACAACTTGCTGGACAGGCAATTAAATTTGCTCAAGCTAAAAGGACCTCCATAACCAGTTTAAAATGGACAGTCCGGTAAAGTGAAGGAGTTGATGTGCTTTTATAAAGAGTTTATTAATCGATTAGAAAAGTAATAAAAAAAAATACATGGTATGTTCTTCTTCCTGTATCGGAGTCCATCTTGACTGGATTGATGGTGAGTCCTGGAATCAATCGTGACTTTTAGAATGCAACTATCGATAATTGTAAGAGCTGTCAGAAATGTAGACTCTGGGCTGCCAAACTTATTTCATTTATTATTATATTTATTTGTTGAATTTTATTGAAATATAATGACTAATGACTAAATGACTTTAATAAATGAAATAATGAATATGAATATACAACTTTTCCCACACAAACATACCGGATTAAAACGGCGAGTTTGCAATTCATTTTCATTATAATACCAACCATAATCCGAGCTTATGTGTGGGTTTCCAGCTCCCAAACGCTTCCCAGCCAAACGTAATTTCCCAGCTATTACCAACCAAATC